AATTTATTATTGCCTCTAGGGCATATTTCCTTCACAAATACCATCGTCCTATATATCAATCTTTACCTCTCGACCATTTCGAGACTCCTCGTCATGTCCGTGATCTCATCTGGGACTCCGAACAACATTCGATCACCAAAACATATAACTCATATAAAACTATATCATCAACGAACGTTAAGCATGCAGACCCTACGGGTTTGAGAACTATGTAGACATGACTGAGACACCTCCCCGGTCGATAACCAATAGCGGAACCTAGATGACCATATTGGCTCCTACATATTCTACAAAGATCTTTATCGGTCGAACCGTCATGACAACATACGTAATTCCCTTTGTCTGTCGGTATGTTACTTGCCCGAGATTCGATCGTCGATATCTTCATACCTAGTTCAATCTCGTTATCAGTAAGTTTCTTTACTCGTTCAGTAATACATCACCTCGTGACTAACTCCTTAGTCGTTTTCTTGCAAGCTTATGATGTGTATTACCGAGAGGGCCCAGAGATACCTCTCCGATACTCGGTGACAAATCCTAATCTCGATCTATGCCAATTCAACAAACACCTTTAGAGCTACCTGTAGAGCATCTTTATGATCACCCAGTTACATTGTGACGTTTGATAGCACACAAGGTATTCCTCCGGTATCCGGGAGTTTCATAATCTCATAGTCGAAGGAATATGCATTTGACATGAAGAAAGCAATAGCAATGAATTGAATGATCATTATGCTAAGCTAACGGATTGGTCTTGTCCATCACACCATTCTCGTAATGATGTGATCCGGTTATCAAATGACAACACATGTCCATGGTTAGAAAACCTTAACCATCTTTGATCAACGAGCTAGTCTAATAGAGACTTACTAGGGACACAATGTTTGTTTATGTATTCACACATGTATTTAAGTTTCCCATCAATATAATTCTAGCATGAATAATAAACCTTTATCATGAATAAGGAAATATAAAACAACAACTTTACTATTGCCTCTAGGGCATATTTCCTTCACCAAGTGGTTGTGTGGCCCATCATTGGATCTACTTGATATCCTACGAAGCTTCATGTCCTTCGTGCACCGAAAAAATTGTATCAAATCAACAAGGTATTTTGACCTCTATAGATATTGATTTCCTATAAAATCAAAAACATGCAGAAAACATGAACTAACATTGGGCACTAGATTGATAGGTTAGTCCAGAAAAATAATACAAAATGCTATAAAGAATATTCAAAAGTGAAAATATAATAGCATTAAATAATAATAAATTATAGATACGTTTGAGACATATGAAGATGGCAACCCCCTGTGGCCCGAGCGGGAGGAGTGGCTGATAGCGGGTTCTAGGCCTCCACTCTATGACAACGCACCAGGAGGTCGTAGCGGCGCACGCCCGGCAGTGGTGGCAAGCGGAGGTTTGGAAGCGAGAAGCCCAACATCTCGTCGACATGGCTGGCGACCCGCTTCAATACCCATGGCGCGTGCTTCGCTAGGATGAGCTCGGAATGAACAGTAACTCAAAAAGCATTTTAAAAATATTCAACAAAATCTCAAATCTTTTATGACAAACTTCGACAAATGTTGCTTGCAATATTTCATCATGAAATCAGATTTGTGGAAGTCGTGGCAAAGAAAATTTTAGTGCTCCAAAATGCTTTCGAAATTAGCATTTTCAGAGTATCGATTTTTTATGTCATGACTTACACAAATGATTTCATGATTAAACTTTGCAACCTCTTAGAACATTTGTCAGAGTTTTCCATAAAAAATAAGCTTTTCTAAACATTTTTTAAATGTTTTTCAATTTTATTGTTCACCCGAGCTCATTTGAGCTCGGGTGCAAAAACTTCACGTCCCTGACAAGGGTCATTTTAATCACTGTGTCATTTTGTGTTGTCTGGTTGTTAGACTATAAGGCATCCATAGGCCCATAATAATGAAAATGGAAAATTTCATATTCACGGAAAACGGAAACTTTCGTTTCTGTGTCTGTTCTATCGGAAAACACCGTTCTATTTTTGTTTCCGTTTCCGCATAAATGTTCCGTTTTCATTCTGTATTTCCTCTTTGTTTTCATTTTTTCTCTCCATAAAAAGCGGAAAGTTAGCTCATTTTCATTATATAAGATTCTTGGGGCATCTCCAACGTCGACCCACAAACCATCTGCATACGTCCGGATCGCGCAGTCCGAACCGCGGAAGCCATCCAACACAAGCATGTATCGGTCCGCTCGGTGGTCCACACATGTTTTTTTCCTGCAAACCGGAGACAAGGGGTGCGGGCGCCTGGACCGTTGCCAATCACGCGTCTGACCGCCCTGGCCAACCAAAAAAAACCACCCGCCTCTCCTGTGCTTTCCATGGAACGCCCGCAAATCGGAGACAAACGCGGAGGTGGGGGTGGGGGGAGTTTGCAGGCTCGATGGTCGTCGTATCTGGGGCGAAGCGCGCGACGAGGTACGGCCGGCGCAATGTGGGTTGCCGCTCCGCATTCGCCAGGAGGGATGTGGCGCCAGACTTGGTCCGTAACAACCCTGATCTCACCGCCGCGTGGGCGCGCGGCTGCTTCGTGACCACCGCAAAGACGGCCGCCAGGTGGCGCCGCCGCCTTAACGGCGAGCTCACCAAGATCAACGATGAGTGGTCACTTTGCGACTGCTCCGCCAATGCCGGTCGCAGCAAGACTGCCGTCAGGGCTCCGAAGACAAAGTCGGCAGTCGCTGCGGTGGCACTCCGCACCACGCATCAGGAGGCGGATCGGCTCCTCCCCGAGCAGTAGGCAGCCGCCGGACAAGGCTACCATGGCCCTCCAGTGCCGTTCCGCCGCTAGAGGGACCATGACAATGATGGCATGGACGGCGACGGCGGTGCAGCAGGGTAGGGTGGCCATGAGTACGAGGTGGCCGTCCGGTATAGGATTTAGGATTTTTTTCCTATTTTATTATTAAACGGTCAAAATATCGACCTTTTTATGTTAAGTATAATCGAATTTGAATGAATTCCGTCATGTTTGCACGGATTTCTTCCAGTTGGTTTCAACTGTTGTTGAATCTAGATGATGCCTCGCGTGTTGCTGCGGGAACTTTGTTAAGAAAAATGTACGGATAAGTGGTAGAAGACTAAAATTGATGCAAAAACAAATATAAAAGTGTTTTACATGATTTAGTCCCCTGGAAAAAAGGTCATGCATGTGGTGGTATGTTTTGCATGAAGAGGTTAATGTGATAAGTAACTTATAACTCGCATGGCTGGATGATGTGGCATTCTTGCATGGGAAAAAAAATTAGGTAGTTGGTTGTAGCTATTTAAGAATAGAGGATGTATGCAGGCACCGTTGGATGACGGTCTCCGGTATCGGTGTTCGCGGATTGGCCCTCCTGTCCGCAGACAGATGCCGGAGGAAATTTGAGGGTCGGCGTTGGAGATGCTCTTAGTTTGGTCATGGCAAAGACATTTCTTTACATTCATAATTTGAGTTTCAATTTTTGCGATGAATTGATGATATGATTGTCTTCTAGGCATAGCCGGTCCCAAGCCCGGGTAAAGGAGGAGGGTTGTGATAGGCTTGGCGAGCCAACGTAAAAACTAGCCAGTCCCATAGGTATGAAACCCATTTGAGCGAGAATAGTACTAGGATGGGTGACCTCCTAGGAAGTCCTCGTGAAAGGGTTTCATATCTAAGGGTTGTGATAGGCTTGGCGAGCCAACGTAAAAACTAGCCAGTCTTTTGGGTATGAAACCCATTTGGGCGAGAGTAGTACTAGGATGGGTGACCTCCTGGGAAGTCCTCGTGAAAGGGTTTCATATCTAGCCTACCCCAACTTGTTTGGGATAAAAGGCTTCGTAATCGTAATCTAATTGATGATATGATTTAGGAATCTGATAACGCCCAAACGTAAGGTGTGAGCACATGGCAAACCGAATGTTTTTGATGACAAGTTTAGTGACGCGAGAATGACAACTTTAGTTGATAAGTGTGACTACTTCGTGCTTCAGTATATTTTTGACAGAAAATTGTCATGTGTCAACTAACTTGTCTTTCTTGCCTCACAAAACTTGCCATAAAAAAGTCCGATTTGTCATGAGCTCATACTAGACGTTAGGTACTTCTCATTCCCGTTGATTTATCTTGGATGCATAAGGCCTTGTACAATGGAAGATGCTTAGGGAGGTGCTTAGAAAAATAAACCGAATTTTTCTGAAACACCGATGCTTATTTCTACAAAAGAGGCGCTTAGTTAAGTGTCTATCCTGTACAAATAAGCACCGGTGCTTAAAAAAAGCCTGATTTATTTCTCTAAGCACCCCTAAGTATCTTGCATTGTACAAGGCCTAAAGGCATGACGGTGGCGGTGGTAGTGGACTGGTGGCGGGTGGGAACACGAAGGCAACTCCAGCGAAGGAGGATGCAACGGAGTAGGCTCTTGGGTTAATTAGTCTTGGGAGTCCAGACCGAAGGGACGGCGCGTTGCTGGACGAGGTGCGTCGACCCAGTCAGTCACAGGAACAGAGGGCGCTGGAAAGAGAAGCCCAGAATGAGGAAGAACATGTGTCAGAATCAGGATAGCGTGAGTTTTGATCCAACGGCACACAAATCATCTGACTTTCTGCAACCCGCACCTGACTTGCGTCACTTGCGCGCCCAGAGTACTTATTACGCAGCGGGTACCGGTGTGCCGTACGAGTGTACGCCAAGTCGCCAATGGCATAACATGCGATCACTGACAAGATGTCATTTTTATAGTAGGAAGCACGTAAGGCAATGCCACTAAATTCTTCCATGATTCGCTCCTCAAGCCATGCCCATGTGACCTTGCTAGCTCAAACACGGAATACTGTACAGGTTGAGCGGCCATTGTCGCCGATCGCGTCGTCGTTCCCACTTCAGTTTTGCCCACTGCCCCGCCTATAAATCCTCCGGCAATGCCGACCCGTCTGGCCATCAGACCACAGCTGCCGAGTTACTTGACAAGTACTACTGGCTACTAGTGCAAGTATGGCTGGGGTCTCTACCAATGCAGTTGCACTCGTCGCACTCGTCTTCGTTCTTCTCACATATGGCTGCTGCGCCCAGTCGCCGCTCAACTACACCGGCTCCTTGGCTAAAGCCTCCAAGGCTAGCTGGTCATGGCTCCCTGCCAAGGCCACATGGTACGGCGCGCCTACTGGTGCCGGTCCCGATGACAACGGTACGTGCGTACGTCCCGGTGGTGGCCGGCGGCGCATGCTATTGCGTTACACAGTGCAACCTTGGGATACTAATAACAATGTCGATCGAACTGTGCAGGTGGTGCTTGCGGCTACAAGCACACTAACCAGTACCCGTTCATGTCCATGACTTCCTGCGGCAACGAACCCCTGTTCAAGGACGGCATGGGCTGCGGCGCCTGCTACCGGGTACGTACGTGTGCATAATAAATTAATTACACTAAGCGCCGACGCCGATGCTAGTCATTACACTAGATTAGTCAAAGCTAACAGTGCGTACGTAGCTCCGTTCACACTGTAATGAAATAGTACGTGGGTAGCAGTCCGCTACTCTGTAGTCTAGGCTCAAAAGATCATGCTACGTGTAGCCCATTAGTTGACTTTCTGCTTGGTTTTCCAGATACGATGCGTCAATAACAAGGCCTGCTCCGGCAAGGCGGAGACGGTCATGATCACCGACATGAACTACTACCCAGTCGCCAAGTACCATTTCGACCTCAGCGGCACGGCGTTCGGCGCCATGGCGAAGCCTGGCCAGAACGACAAGCTCCGCCACGCCGGCATTATCGACATCCAGTTCCAAAGGTCCGTAACTTCTCTGGCACAACCTTGACCACAGTAGTACTCCAAGCGAAACTCGTCCGGCGTTATCGGCTCTGGTCACTGATCAGCTCCGTTGGTGCATGCATGCAGGGTGCCATGCAATCATCTGGGATTGAACATGAACTTCCACGTCGAGCGGGGCTCCAACCCCAACTACCTCGCCGTGCTGGTGGAGTTCGCGAACCGGGAGGGCACCGTGGTGCAGATGGACATCATGGAGTCAAGGAACGGCCGCCCGACGGGGTACTGGACGGCGATGCGCCATTCGTGGGGCGCCATCTGGCGGATGGACTCCAGCCGCCGGCTGCAGGGCCCCTTCTCTCTCCGCATCCGCAGCGAATCCGGCAAGACGCTGGTGGCCAAACAAGTCATCCCGGCCAACTGGAAGCCCGACACAAACTACCGTTCCAACGTCCAGTTCCGTTGATCGCTCCGAGCTTCCGATCGATCAACAAATACGTTGATTGATTCGGTACCGTGTGAATGCAAAGTATATTGTTGAATTTTACTTTCAAGGTACTAGTATATGTTTGGAATGGAAGGAGGCTTTAGCATGGGTAGCCTGGCCCGAAAGCCTAACATACAGGCCGGACTTCTGTCCAGTGGAGTAGTATCCACGTGCTACCCAGCCCGCTATCACAAGATTCACAGCTCGAAATCTAATCTATTGTAATTAATCAGGTTTATCCATATACATTATGGGGTACCAATTGTGTATTCAGTCAATCAGATGCTCCCATAATTTCTTAAAATCATAGTTTACAATTGCTGAATTAATGTTCTTACATTTTGATATAGAAAAAACAGAGGCTCATTCATTAGGGACGCCGATAAGACCCATTTGAACATTAAAAATGAACGTTTTTCGTGGCAATTTACGTTTGCTGATCATGAAAAGTTTAGTTGGCAAGTATGGCAAATTTACGCTAATTAAGTTCATTTTTGCCAGGAAATTGCCGTGCTCGTAGAAAAAAGTGTCATCCTCGCATCAACTAAAATTGCCATAAAAAACATTTGATTTACCAGGGCCAAAATCCGAACGTCTGAGATTTATCATTTCCGTTCATTAAATAAGAAGTTAGACAAGAGTTTCAAGACACAAGGCCAAGAGACCAAAATTACAAAGCCGCTACTTTCTCGGCAAAATTTAACCCAAGTATATCGGACCCGTAATGGCTGAAAGCCTTGCCTCATTATTATTTTTGGAAGACCCTCGAACTCCGCTCGCCCCAAATTGTCCTACTCTAACATAAACAAAGATAAAGGCCAAATGGTCTACCCCCTTTCAAAGCCAGTCAAAGCCCTAGATGGAGCGGGGCCCATGACCAGCCTCTGTGTCCGAAACTGCGCGAGGGAGGATCAGAAAGCCTCCAACACCTGCATCTGGCCCTAATATATGCACAAAACGATAGTGTAAGGTGGTATAACACCTTTGAAAGCCGCTCAAAGGGCTAGACGATGCGGACCCACAGATTTGGGTTTCACCCATAACCACAGGAGGGTGGGTTGGAAACTGTTTCCAAATTCACCACATTTGATGTGGAGAGAGAATGTGATTGAAAGATAGAAAATACAAATCCTAAAAAAAATAGGAAATACAATATAAAAACAGAAATAAAGTTAAAAGGATATATATATATATATATATATATATATATATATATAAACAAAAATAAAGATAGGAAATGATATTAGCTATCCAAACTAACATAATAACAATAAAAATATTAAATCCGAGTAGCCCCAAAACGTCACTTTACCAGTTAGAAGCCCAGTGTTGCCTAAAAAGTCATTCGGCTTACCAGTTAGAAGCCAAGTGTAGCCTAAAAAACATACTCAGCTTACTAGTTATAAGTCGAGTGCAATATCAGACGATAGTCTGCTTATAGTTGGCGGGAGGTCCTTAGCGACAACCCCCCACCCCTCGTGCCCTTTCTCTCCATCTCTTTTCCCCTTTGTCCTTCACGTGCACCATCCCTCCAAGCTTCAAGGTGAACTACACAGAAAAGGGAGGTACAAACAGTCCCCCCACCCGGCTCTCGTGTCGCCCCTCTTGGGCGACTCGGGAGCGGCCCCAAACCCTAGCCGCCGCCTCCTCTCCTCCCTCCTGCCCCCTCCACGCCGCCACCCGAGGAGCCTGCCGGCTGTCGCGCGTCTTCCGGTGAAGGTGGCGGCGAGGATCTGCTGCCTCGCGCCGGCGTGAGGAGCTTTGGAAGCCAGGGCGGTGGCCCTGGGTGGAGATGGCGGCGTCGATTTCTCCGGTGGATGACGCGCGCAGGTGTTGGCCGTCCCTCCCGGCCGCGTGGGTGGCGTGAGGACGGCGAGGTCTTGTTGCAGCGGTGGGCGTCTCTCTTCCTCCCAGCCCCTTCCTCCCTGTGGTGGTCTCCTCTCGCCGATCTGGTGGCTGGTTCGTCAGATCTGGGCTTCGAGGATGGGGCGGTGGAGACTTGGAACGGGGCAAACCCCTGGTCGATTTCGCGTCGACCTCGACGCCGGCGGCGCTCCGGTGCCGCTCTCCCTCTTGAGGGCGGGTCGAGCTTCCAGATCCGTCCCCCTCCTCCTCCTCCCTTCCCCGGGCGAAAGCCTTGGCCTTTTGGCCGGACGGTGGAGGCGCTCTGGCGTCTCGGCCCATCCTGGAGGCGCCGTTCAAGGGGTGGTTGGGGGTTGTGGACCTGGTGCGTGGTGGTGGGTGGCGGCGGCAGTGCTCGGTTCCCTTGGTTGCCGGCGTTGGTAGTGGCGTGTGGGTTCTTCCTCATCCTTCAGCGGCTCCTCGCTTTGTTTGCTGGTTGGTCACCGGCCGGCAGTGGGCGTCCGCGTGTTCGACACGGTCGGGACGAAGGGGAGATAGTGGTCTCTCCTCCGGCAGTGGCCCGAGGTGGCGGGCGGTGGAGTCGATGGTTTTCTTCACGCGGTCTGGATCTTCATGTTCACGGCTTTTGCTGTCGCCGGGTGGCTTTGGCCCTGCCGTTCTAGCTGTGCAAGATCTCCGGTGGCTTGATCGCAGTATTTCTTGCTGCCTTTTTCTCTGTAGCTCTTGGTTGTAGTGATTTGGCATGCATTTTTCAGTTTTTGGTCAAGTCTTTGCCTTTGTAATTCAGCACCATTGTATCCTAGCCGGTTGATGACTTCATTAATTTGAAGTCGGGCCTTTGTGCCTTTTCTCTAGAAAAAATAGCCATTGGCGCGGCCCCCAAATCGCAAATGCTGGTGACGTAGCCCACCGTCCCCTCCTTGGCGCCCTACCGACGGGACTCCTACGCCCACCTCGCCTTGCTTGCCTGTTGTGGACCCCTTTTGCCCATGGCCATAGCCGGTTGATTCTGACACGGTCCGGCATGCTCTGGTGCCATGCTAATTACGTGGTTCCTCCTCTCCTCGAGCTCTACCTCTTCCTTCGCGTTGATTTGTTCTTCTCCTCCTCCCGTATTCTCTTGCGATGCATTTCTCCTTGTTAGGGTTTCATTGTGTTTGTGCTTGACCTTCTACGTGGTGCTCGTCGGTGTGGTCATACTCGAGCCCGCTGTATTGAACTATATCGCAAAATAGTGTGGTTGTGCCTCTGCCTCGGCTACAATACAGGCTGGTGAGCTCTCCTCTTTTCTTACCCCCACTCCTATCAGTGGATTGGGGATGTTGTGTTAGGTTCATAGATGCACTAGTTCATTTGATTTGGATCCTAGTCTTACATGGCTTGTGAATTTGGTATGTTCTTGCTCCTATTGATCTAACAACATTTGGTTTAGGGGTACGAGCACAATGCTCGTGCATTGCTATGATGCCATAAAAATTGAGAAATTACCACTGGCGTAGGAGATCTTTAGAAGAAGATGGTGTCTTGTGGTTGTTGCATGGTTCACAATTAAAAAGAGAGCATGAATATACTAAAAGAACATGTTGCAGTCGATAAAGAGCCCCAAGCAACCATAGTAGGTCCTTTGCACGATTTATAGTGAGAGAATATAAAATTTGTAACATAGGTAGACGGGTGTGAGTAAGTTGAATGCACAAGATTGTAGCTTAGGTAGGAGGGCAACACCTATCGCCATGTATAACTGTAATGTGTTTGCCCTCTTCTGCTGACATGGATTCAAAAGAACTGGTTGGGTAGAGAAACTAAAATCAAGACCATGATTTTTAATTGAATGGCATACTTCCATTTATAACTTGTGCTTTTTACAAGAGTGTTATTATCACGTTAGGTAGAAGTGCATTAATTTATTTCAGATAGGTCTCAAACCTAGTAAAAGAAACATTTATTTAGTTATGTCTCTTGAAAGGTTGCTATTTCCATATGTGGCCAGAAGTGCATTTGTTTATTTGTATGATCCCACATACAAATTCACCACCAACTCCAAACTTCATAAGTAGGAAAGAAATTTATGTCCTAGGTTAGGGGTTTAGAGCCACAGGCAAGGTTGTCTCACGATTCTACGACTTTATGATCCAAACTAACCCATATGATTCTCCAATTTTGGTTCATAAAATCTTCATTTCTACTATCCTAACAGTTAAGATTCTATGATTTGCGATCCTGCCATTGGAGCTCCGGTCCAATTCGGAATCACGATTCTGACAACCTTGGCCACATGTCTGCATCAATATTTGTATGTGTGTTGAATTTAGTCTGATGGTTCTCCATTTATAAGAGATGTTCTCAGAGGAAGGATAATGGCTGTTGTTGTAGGGGGTCGTCCTTCCAGTTCTCCTCTTATGAGGCCTTGGTAAATCAAGAGGAGAAATGGAAGGACGACAAACACCGACGGTCGAACTAACAGTGAGTGAGTGTCCATCATATACACTGTTGGGGAACGCAGTAATTTAAAAAAAATCCTACGATCACGCAAGATCTATATCTAGGTGATGCATAGCAACGAGAGGGGAGAGTGTTGTCTACGTACCCTCGTAGACTGAAAGTGGAAGCGTTATGACAAAACAGTTGATGTAGTCGTACGTCTTCACGATCCGACCGATCCTAGCACCGAAGGTACGGCACCTCCGCGATCTGCACACGTTCAGCTCGGTGACGTCCCACGAACTCTAGATCCAGCTGAGGTCGAGGGAGAGTTTCGTCAGCACGACGGCGTGGTGACGGTGATGATGAAGTTACCGGCGCAGGGCTTCGCCTAAGCACTACAACGATATGATCAAGGTGGAAATCTGTGGAGGGGGGCACCGCACACGGCTAAAAGATCAACTTGATCAACTTGTGTGTCTATGGGGTGCCCCCTTCCCCAGGGCCGGCCCTCTATGGCGCGCCCAAGTGGGGGAGTCCTACTCCCAGTAGGAGTAGGTTCCCCCCTTCCCTAGTTGGAGTAGGAGAAGAAGGAAGAGGGAGAGGGAGAGAAGGAAAGGGGGGCCGACCCCCCTCCCAATTCAGATTGGGCTTGGGGGCGCGCCCCCACCTTGGCATGCTCTCTTCTCTTCCAC